AAAAGTTATGGACGTACAACTAAACAGCATGCTAGCTACTGAGCTTGAAGAGCTCACAGATTTAAATACATGAGACCTGAGGCAGCTGTTCCTTGGTATGGATGAGAGCTACTGAAATACACAGCCCCTTATGTGAAGTGGCACAGAATTTCCACATAACTTTACCAACTTGTATACTTTAAGTTGTCACTAAATTACTTGTATTATTTAATAAAATGTAAATGCTATGCAAATAGTTGTTAAACTATGCTGTTTAGGCAACAATGGCAAGAAATAAAGCCTGTCTGCATTTAGTCAGTAAAGAGACAGTTTTTCCTCAAACATCATTTGTTCATGGTGAAAATATTCAAAACCCTTCCTTTGCGCTTTTAACATGTACAGTATGTAATGCTTTTTATAGTTATAATTTTTAAAACATATTTTTTGTACAGGGAATCAAAAATAGATTTTTAATCTGTGGTTGGTTGAATTCATGGATGCAGAATAAATGGATTTAGAAGTTGACTATAGTTGATTTTGCAAGAGACAGTGGTGGACAATTTTATAGAGTAATCGCCTTTGAAATATTCCTTAAATCACTAGTTCCACATCTAAGTCCCTCCTCAGACCAGATAGATAAATAAAGTTTGGTCATGATCAGAATCCTGACAAATGGAAGGTTTTTTTGCACTCCTAAGAGGGGTAGCTGCTACTGAGCCCAGCTGACTGCTGCTATTAGGACCACAAGGAAAAAATTGTCATTAGAATTTTAGTATTTTAGGACTTCCAGGAGAACATGGCAGATAGATAACAGCATCTATGGAGGCTCTCTGAGATAGCCAGGTTAGATTCCAGAAATGGTGTGGTGTAGGAAGTCCTAAGAAGGGAGAGATATACCCTGCCAACCCAGGAATGAACTAAGCTGAGAGAAACCAACTGGAAATGCAATCCCAGTGCTATGATTGGAACAGCTAAAGTCTCAGTGCCAAAGCTGGAACCCGTGTGTCTGGAAACCGCAGCTTGAATTTCCTGCCACCGCTGCTGCATTTGAATCGGCACAGCAGGGATAGAGATATGAAAGCTCTGATAGCAGGAATCAGCAAACTGAATTCAGAGCAGAGGTGATGGGGAGCCCTGCATTGACCTGCAGTGAGAGGAATGGGGACCCTTCCATAGACTAGGAGGTTCCAACAGAGGACATTCTGGGACCAGGCAGACTAGCCAGAACAGGATGCTGCAGTGACTTCAGTCACATATTCCCCTGTCAAGCAGGATTGGTGGGGAGCACTTGACCTGGGTGACGTCAGACTAAGACCCAGAGGCTAGCCCAAACCAGGTCCCCGCACCTGGCGGTACACCCTAATGCAGTGAAGCCTTCAGCAGGTTGACTGACCTGGAGGGGCAGGCCCAGCATAGGCTATCTAGGTCTGTGTCTCCCTAGTACACTGCAGTGGGTGGAAACACCTAGCCGGCATGATTCAAACAAACTGTAACCGACAAAGAAAGAAACTGGGCCTCCTATAAATGCTTGTATGGAAGGAACAAAAAGTATGGGAAGAGGGAGCAACAAAAAAGGGTCCTCAGTCCCCAATCCTGAGAACACTGATCCAGGAAAGGTAAATGCAAAGGAGAATGAGGACAGAAAATATGCAATATCAGGCACGGCACCAATAGACATAAAGCGATATCTCTGGGACCTCATAGATGAGTTCAAAAGTAAAGTATTTAACCAAGTACAGCAAGATATAAGTAGAATAGTTAAAGAAATGCTAAGCACCGCCCAAGAAAAAACAGATGGTGGAATGGAAGAACAGAAAAAAAGGGGAGAATTGTTTGATGGAGAAAATAGAGAAAACATAGAATAGATGAAGCAAGTTCAAAGAGATTACCAGGAAACTAAAAACTCTATCGAAAGCTGGCATAACAGCTTGAAAGAAACTAAGGATAGATTATCTGAACTGGAGGACAGATTTGTAATGTGGGAGCATGAAAGGAAAAAATTCTTAAAAATAACAAGGAAACAAGCAGTAACAATACATAGGCTAGAAGATGATAAGAGGATTTATAACTTAGGAATTAAGAATGTAAAGGAAGAAGCAGGGATACAATCAAATGAACTGAAAAGGCTATTCACAGAAATAATCAAGAACTTCCCTAATATGGGAAAAGGTAAAGATACTCAGATCTATGAGGCATACAGGACCCCAGCCACCTAAAATCCAAACAGAACTACACTCAGGCATATAATAATCAAAATTCCAGAAATCCAATATAAGAACAGAATATTAAAAGCTGTCAGAGACAAGAAACAGATCACTTACAAGGGAACACCCATCAGAATTACAGCAGACTTCTCAGCACAAACCATCAAATCATGAAGAGCGTGGGGCGAAATAATTCAAGCTTTGAAAGATAATAACCTCCAGCCAAGATTGATATATCCTGCACAACTGTCCCTAGAAATTAATGGAGAAACAAGGGGCTTCCAAGATAAAGAGCAACTAGGGGAATTTGCACCAATTCAACTCTACAGAGAATACTGCAGAACATTCCAAAAAAGAAAAATACAAAGAACCCAGAAATAGTGGCGGGGAGGCCACAATGAATGGAGCAGAAAGCGAAATGAAGAAGACAAACTGACAACTAATGACAGAAAAAGAGCTCAACAGAAATGAGGCAGAGAAGGTTAGATGGTAGGAACAGCTATTTTGGAGAAAACAAGACATCATAATAGTTAGTGCTGATTTATTATCATCTTGTTTTGAAGTCCCATCAAGCTTTTGTTCTTCTATCTCCATCAGTCTTAACATGTTGTATCTTATTGGATTTTATTATATGTGATAATATAGACAAAAACTTTTATAGACAAGGAGATTATACAGAAACCATTGTTCATTTTCTGTTAGTTGGTTCTAAATACCCTGTAATACTGTCATTCTCTTGAATGGTTTTACATTGTCTTGATATGTTTGATGCTACAGTATACGAAGTTATACTCAAAGATTTCAAGGAAAGAGACACTATGGTAACTACTTTTATGTCGGGATATCTTGTGGTGTAACACTATTTTGCTTAAATGGTTATGTTCTGACCTGTGCTGTTTTGTTGTTATGTCCTCCTTTATCTCAATCTCGTTTTTTATTATTTATTTTTTATTTTTATCTTTTTAATTAAGGGAAAAAATAAATAAAAAATAGCAGGATATATTATGGTAACCCACTTTGATTTCCTATTCACTTGATTTGAAACCATGTATTGTTCTCACCATCTGGTTTTGACTGATTTTCCTCTATTTTGTTTTGCTTGTTTTCCTTTGTTTTGTTTTGCTTGTATTTGTTTTGTTTGAGCGTATAGGCAACAATTGTGAAGACAATAAGATTCACTATGATGCGCATTCTGGTTTGACTAGTATCTTCTTTTGAAGTCCTGTAATGTCTCCAATGTTTTGGTTTTATTGGTTTTGTTCTTGTTTTGTTCAATTTTATTATAACTGATGATATAGGCAATTCTTTTCAAGATAGCAAGAGGCATTATGGTAACCATTGTTGATCACCTTGTATTCTGTTTTTACATTATGTACTATATCCATCCTTTTGATTTGACTGACTCTATTTTGTTATGTCACATTTGGTTTTATTCTCTTTAAAAAAAAGTAATAAGAACTATGGGAGTAATAAAACCCAAAATGTGTAATTGTCATTGTAAAAACGAGAGGAAAAGAAAGTGCTCTAAAGGATATAACTGCATGTATATTTAAGCGTATAAGATAGATAACCATATTACTAAGTTTTTGTTGGATCATTGAACAGAACTATTTGCAGTCTCACTGTCCACTTTATATACTTTAATTTTGTAACTTGAACAACTATTTCTAAGATGACAATATGTAATCTATTAACTAGTGATTTCCTACTGTTTATTTTTTTTAAAATTCTGTATAACTTGTACCCTTTTTGTTTTTTTTCTTTTTCTCCTTAAATAAAATTTAAAAAAAAAGAATTCTAGTATTTTAGGAACAGATGAAAATCTGATTTTTTGCATGAAAATGGTTTGCATTTTTATATGCTTTTTATGAAGAAGGAAAAAAATTTGCCAATCAGGTCAAGAGATTATAAACTCTAATTTAAAATATAAATCTATGCACTAGGCATTATGGTGCATGACTGTAGTCCCAGCACTCAGGAGGCTGAGGCAGGAGGATCACTGCAAGTTCAAGGCCAGCCTGGGCTATAAAGTGAGTTGAAGGCCAGTCTGAACTGCATAGTGAAACCCTGTCTCAAAAAGATAAAACAAACTAACAAAACATATAAACCTACAAAATGAAGAAGAGACAAGAATATTCTAGATATATAGAACAAGTATATCCTTTATAGAACTCTAAGTTTTACATAGTACAGAAAGCAAACAGGCATGTGCTGGTCCTCTCAAAGTCATGTTAGCTTAGGGTTCACTTTTTAAGTCATAGCAAGTTTTCTAAGCAAACTTTTTGTTTATATGGAATAAAGAAAAAGGATTCCTAACCCAAGATTTTGTATAGCAGAAGTTACAACAACTCTCAAATATAGTTACCAGTAAAATTTAACGGCTTTTTAAAAATCATTTTTCCCCTTTTCCCTTACTTCCTTTAAAAAAAAAGGATAAAATGTTTGTTAGTAGGGAGGGGAAGATGGGTTGAAGGGAGGAAAAGAGATTTGGGAAAACAGAGAAATCGAACTATTTCATGTACAGAAACAAACTCCCTATGATGAATATAATCATTGTGTACATCTAAAATGTACCAATAAATTTTTAAAAAATTAATGGCTATATTTTATTGTTTTTGTATAACTCAAAATATGTCAAATTTGAAATATTTTTGTAGATGTGAAAGATTATCTTATGATTTAAGTAGCACTAATGTCTAAAAAGCAAATTTAGTAAACCACATACTATAAACAAGCTAACTAGAAAATTATTTAAAAATTCCATGAGAACTTTGTTCATATTTACAAGACTATTTTGAGAAAATAACTTCTACATACCTTTTTTGCTTTGGGACCCTAAAAGTTGGAGGGAAAAAAGAATTGATAAATTTTAAAAAGAATTCAGATATTTTAAACAAAAGTACCGTGATTACGTAAGTGTTAAAGTTCGGAGATGCTGGATAAAAGGCATAAAAGAACGCTCTGTACTGTCTTTGCAACTTCTCTGTAAATCCAAAGTAATCCTAAATTTAAAAAGCTGCTTAAAAAAGAATTTGTAACAAAACTACAAGCACAAAGAAAATTTTTAAAAAATCAAACAGAAAAAGTTAAGGTAAAATTTTACTCCCTGAAGCATCTTTGAAAATAGATTCCAGAGTTTTTATCACAATCTATGAAGGATCTATATTTAATGAAAAGTCCTGTCACTAAATTATACCACCCCAAAAAGTACTAGTTTAAAAGGTTCCCAAAGAACCAGCAGCAGTGGTGTGTACCCCTGTAATCCCAGCATGCGGGAGGCTGAGACAGTAAGATCACTGCAAGCTCAAGGTCAATATGGGCTGCGTAGTAAATTCAAAGCTAGCCTAAACAACAGAGTGAGACCCTGTCTCAAGGATAAAACCAACCATGACAAAAAGGAAAAATCCTAAATTATTGACTATTTATTGGTACAGACATCAAACTTGAAAGTGTGGAAATGATTACAAAGACGTAACTTTTCTGTCAAATAAGATTGATGATTTTTATAGACTGAGAACTGTCACTTAAAGCAAGCAACACCATGAAAAAAATTGAACAGTGTTTTTAGCAATGTGTTTTAAAGCAGATCTGCTCTAGAAATCACTTGGAAAGCAGAATATATCAATAAAGATTTATAATTATGATGTACTTTTCACTAGTGCTACTTATAATTTTCTGATTAGGCCCATATGCTGGTCAGAATTCTGGTAAGGCATTTATACCTCATCTGACTATAAGATTACATACTTTATATACGTAAAGAGCTATAGATGGGAAATAATTGGTTCAAACTACAATTTAATCATTATATAATGTAAATGTTAACATTGATACATATTAGCAATTACATCTTAAGAAGTACATATAATTTACTAATTTTTCAGCAGATATTTATTTATGTATTTGGGGATGGAACTCAACCCCACAGTTGTCCAGGCAGGCGCTTACGCTGCTGAGCTAAATCCCCGGTCCCAGCAGATATTTATTAATGATTGACACAGAAGGCCATCTGAGGGGCTGGAGATATTATAGATGAGCAGAGACTGCTCCTACATGTTTTACAAATGCAATCTATTTTATTTTATTATTTCCTGTCTATCAATAGTTAACGTGTCCATCTTGAAATAAATACTAAATAGCAGAGAATAGGTAAATAGTATTGCCCTGGTTATCAAGTAACCATATTTTAAATATGGGCAAGTTGTTACCTCTCAGCAGGGTTTTAATATGGAGCATATTAAAGACAAGCACATCTCCTCCTTTTAGTATATAAGAAAAGCCATTATGCAGTGAAGTAGTTGGCATGGGTATCATCTGGTCAGCTTTCTTAGAAATATATCTATGTTCCTGGATTAAAAGTCAATGAACTCACTTCCCTTCCCAAATTGATTGATGGGATGGGCTGAACCATGTCCCTTCAAATTTCAAATGCTGAAGTCCTACTTCCTGGCATCTCAGCATTTGATGTTGGAAATGGTCATGGCTGATTTAATTAATTAAGATGAGGCCATGCTGGAAAAGAGTGAGTCAGTAAACTAATATGCCTGGTAACCTTATAAAAAGGGGAAACATGGACATAGGTCCCCAGGGAGAAGGCCATGTGAAGAAAGACGTTATGCTGCCAAAAATCATGGAACTACTAGAAAGTAGAAGAGAGGTCGAATAAAACCTTCCCTAGGGACTTTAGAGGACGCGTAGCCCTGCTGACATCTTGAATTTAGACTTTCAGTCTCCAGAACGTGAGATAATACATTTCTACTGCGATACTTAGTTACTTGTCAGCCCTAGAAAACTAACACAATAGACCTGGAGCTCAGATCCTGGGACTTGCAGCTTTGACAAGTATACTCCCTGTGCGGAATGCAAGTTCCGCGAGCCATAGTCAGAGAACATTTCTAGAAGGATCTTGGAAGAAGAAACTTAAATCCACATTCAAAAAGGAGTAAGTAGGTGCTTATTCTCATAATTTGCCAGTAGTTTTAAATTGGTTTAAGTTCCATTTGCATTCTGCCAGGAATACACATCACTGTTCTCACCACTTGTGGAAAACTCTTATTTATATTTTAAAACAAACTAAAAACCAACACTTCCTCCGTCTCTCTTACACCCCCCCCCCAATTTAATCATTTCCAACTTTGGGTTACCCCAGGTTAGATCCTTCAATTGTGACCCTTACAAAAGTGCATTGCAGTTAATTTATCTCCCGCAGCAAGATTGTCATATTTATCTTTGTATCTTTGGCTTCCAGCCCCAGCACCAAACACCAAGAATTCATTCCAAACTTTCCCTTAATCCATTAAATAATTGAGTAAGTAATTACATTTTCTACTTCCTCTGGTTTTAATCATAAAGCTTTCTTGACGGAAATCACATTTAAGAAAATGGGGAAGAGATTATCTCAAGTTACAAGTTTCTCTCAGTGAATACGTGACAGTCCAGGGCAGAAAAGGAAATGCAGGCTGAATACTTGAATCACAAAACAATTCCTATTCCTACAAAAGACCACACAAATAACTTTTTAAAGCAGAAAATGTTATATCTACTTTTAATTAACTGCCAAGGAGATATAAAACGTTTTCTCCAAGTTGCAATAAGAGAGCAGTTTAGTGGGATCATCTATTACAATCAGAAGTTACTAGCTTGAGACCAAGGTTAAGGTCCAGGTTTAGGCTATCACGTTACCATTCTGGCTACGTCCCATTTGCAGAAACTGAGCTTTTTAGTAAACCAGGTTTAGTAAAAACTAAACAGATCCCTTCTACAATATGAAGGACTCCTATTAATCCTTCAACTCTGGGGAAGCAGAATTAATTTACACCTCTTCACCAGTCTCTTTGATCTTCCCCGCTCACCATGAGGAGGCAAAAGCTTGACCTTTATACTCAGCAAAGTCGCAGCTCTGATGTATGGGACAAACGCTCCCAGGTTGTCAGGACGACAGGCCCCGCCCACCTACGCCTCGGAGTCCGCGCGCAGGCCCGCCCACACCGTTCGCGCAGTCGCACTGGAGCTTTTCCTGCCGGCGCCCCGCCCCTCCCAGCTCCGCGGTCGGCGGGAGAGGTGGAGGCTCGTCGGGCTGCGGCGCGCGGGGACGGGCTTGAGAGTTGTTTTTCGGATCCCCGGGTCTGAGGCGGTGAAGTATGCTCTGGGAGAGGACTGCTGGGTGTCGGAAGGGGTTTGTGAGCGTCTTCTCTCCCCCGTTGACAGTCTCCCTGCCTGCCAGTGGTGGGTGAGGGCGCGTCTTGCCGGGAGGGCGCTGGAGAAGGGATGGGAGCAGGAAGGCTGCGAGGTCGGGCGACTGTCCCGGCGGCTGAGACCGCAGGGCTCGGGGATCGAGAGAGACAGATTGGCCCCGCGAGGCTCGGGTACTTTGAACACGCAGTAGACAGGCTTCTCTCTGCTCACGATTCGGTACACACACTTACCGTGCAGAATCCACCACTAAGCGCGGCCCTCAACAAAACTGGAAATGTTTTGGAGTACGTCCCGGTCAAAGCATTCCTTACACGTGAAAACTGCTGAGGCCCAGCAAAGCTCACTAAACTATTTGGCCAAGGTCACAGATTCATTGCACAACCTTCACAAGTTCAGTCTCCTGCCCACGTAAAGAAACACGGGCACCTAAGAGTCACCAGAGGGCTAGAACAAATGAAGGCTGCCCTGTTTCCAAAGCCCAGCTGAATTCTCGTAGGTCTTTAGGACCTGTCTACACCCTAGCACGAAGTACATAAAAGTTCCTGCCACTGTTTATCATCTTTGAATTCTCACTCTGTAATGCTCTATCCCTTGCAACGTCATTTACAAGATTTACTCAGTAAGAAGCAATGCTGACTGGGCTGGTCGTTATGGGTAAACATAAAGACAAATCTTGGTTATGTAATAGTTGACATCTCACCTCCCTCTAAATCTTGGTCGTTAGTTTCATAACTGACTGCCGTACTGTTAATTTCATATAGAATTCTAACAGCTTACCATGGTTATTTTATGTGGAAGTAAGCTTTGGTTTAGAATTAAGGTGTCAATGAAGCTACTGTTTCATGATACAAAACTTCAGTCAACTGCTACCTAGGGTCCCTGGCTATTAGGAAACCTAATTACTTTAAATTACCCAAATTAACCGTAGTGATGAGTCCCCAGGGAAAGGACTGGCCTCTCATATTATCACTGTCTCTCTTGGCAGGAGGACTTATACTGGTGCGTTAAATTCTAAAATGTTGAATTACATTCCACCAGTCACTCTGCTAGAAGAGATTATACCAGTAAGCTTTGTTGTTCTCTAGTACTTGTTGGGGCCTCATAAATTCTAAGGCCTGTTTGCTAATATCGGTTTACCTTTGGATGAACATAATACTTGTCCCTTCTACCAATCTATATCCATCTCTTTTCACCTGGCTAGTATAGTGTGTCTTCTAGGCCTACACCAAGCTCTATTGCCAGCCTTTTATTGGAAACTTTCTTGCCTCCTCTGTCTCTTGATTATTTACCTACCGGTGCTGACAAGTTTGGTATAACCACGTGTGAAGCTTTCTAAACCAGTTTGGGGAAATAGTGCTTCATTTGTTTGAGCCAAGTCTATTGGGGCAGTTTTCCTTTAGCTTGTATTGTCACCCGAAGTTCATGCAAAGGATGAATTAACTTGGCACTGCAGCTTCTAGTAAAATGACAATTCTGTGTTAACCCAGAACTGCAGCTGGTTAAGTCTTATCTCTTCAACTTGAGTCACTGGAGAAAGATTCATGGGGATTGCGTCTCCTCACCTATCACACATTTTCAAGTTCTCAGAATAATGGGGGACGTCTAGACCTTAACCTGGCTTCTGTAACTTCTGTGACTTCATGCAGGCTAAGCAGCAGTCCAGGTCCCTGCTGGACTTAAATTATTTCCTAAAATCTAAGTAGTCCTATTTCTCACCGTGACTAAAATAAATCAAAATGTCTAATGGTTAGCCATGCCATAATAAACTGTTTTAATTCACATGAATCAACCTCAGAAGTACACAAGTTTACTGTGGCCACACTAACTATATTTTTACTAGGTAAATTTTTTATTTTTCATAACAAAAATTGTATAAAGGCCATCAGTGTGCCAAGTATGGTCCATGCCTATAATCTCTCCCCTTGGGAAGCTGTGATAGGAGAATTGTGGGTTCAGGCCAGCCTGGGATACAGAGTGAGACCCTGTCTGTCACAAACAAACAAAACCCTTAAAACTTAAAGGTACACTTCAGCCAGATCCCCCGAAAAGCTTCAAAAATTATATACTTGGACGTAGATGAAGCTGTGCTTTTTGACAGGCAGTAAGCAACAGTATTATTACTATGTAAATTTAGTTTTTCAATATTTAAAAACCACATGGTTGTTAGCAGTCATTCTATAAAAATAAACACACTGCCATGACTCTACCACAAAACCTATTTTGAATGAAATACTGTTGTTACTAATATCTTGGGTTAAACATACCCATCTAATTTACTGCCTTCCAGAATTCCACTAAATCTTCCTAACGGGATAAAAATAAAATGGAAAAAATGGGAGAGGTGATGACAGCAATAAAATTCTAGAAGCTGGAAAACAGATGAATGAATGTGACTCAGCAACCAGGAAAGCCCAGTTTACGCTGAATTCTCAAGGGCACTAGACCAGGGTTCCCTGGAATTGGAGACAGGAAAAGAAGACTAAGGGAAAGCTATTTGAGAAACATTTCAAGTAACTGTACTGCCCACTCCTACGGAAGCCCGGAGAAGTCATTCTCAAGCATAGTGAGGTATGTGAAAACAAACAAGAATAGGTGTACGTAATGCTGAGTGCAAAGTCTCCATTATTTCTTTACTTTTTGATGTTTAATAGGCAAACCCTCAGACTGGTAGACTGCTCTGAGAAACTGACCAGCCCAAGAACAACAATCCAAAATATTGACATCAGAGGTTCCCCAGTAAAAGGCCCATTCAGAACAACTGAAGTCTGGTGGCAAACCTATGCCTGGCATGTGTGTTATTCTCCTAAGATGTAAGATGTTTTGTATGTTTTCTTTTTCCTAAACGAAACCCTTGGGTGGGCATTCTGTCTCTTGAAGGTCTGCCATCACTGACCTGAGTGAAGCTGAAACTGAGCCTAAACCATGAATCCTAAGTACCTGATGTGTGAAGATTCGAGTCGTCAGCTTTCACACGTATGAGCAGACCTTGCATTATGAAAGCTGGTAGATGTGAGCAAATTGCAGAAATAGCTCGTGTGTCCGCCAGACAGTGTCACAGTTGTGCGGCTGTGTGCTTAGTAGTGTGACAGCGCGGTAGCACACAGAGCCCAGGAGGACGGGAGGCCAGAGCAAGAGCAGTGGGATGTGGTGGGGACTGCTAGGAAGCACAAAGCCGGAAACATGGAGACGAAAGTGAAAATTATGGAGATAAACTGAGGTGAAGAGGTGATCGAGCCTCTTGTTCTTGTAACTTGAAACATTCAACCATGGGCACAGCTGTAAAGAGCAGGGACAAGATAAGGGAACATGTGAATCTGCTGTGCCACTGACTGACCCCGTCAGACTGTGAAGGAATCTGACTCACCAACAGTTTAGAAAGAGACCTGTGCGCAAGTCGGGAACTTACACGTATACAGATCCTTAGAGAAGTGGATGGGAAAGGAAACTTTGGAAGAAAGCTCAGAAGTGAGAGAGAAAAACCAGCTGGAAAAAAAAGCCACATGTCCTAAAATACTATATTTTAAGAAAGTTAAGATATTGGTGAACTTGGTGGGGGGTGTGTGGCTGCACTGTGTGAATTAGTTCATAAATTACTAACGAATAGGGGAATTTTGTAAGTATTAATGTATTAGTGATTTTGGTTCCTATGTTGATTTTCATTTTCTTAGCAAATCAGTATGTTTCTTACCTCTAGCAAGAAAAGATCTTCACTTTGTTGGTATCCTGGCAGCAGGTGCCTAGGAATGTTCTTGAAAATTGTACATTAAGTGCTTACTGTTAGGGTTTCTTTCCAGAGGGGCAAACCCCACGTTTTGTACAGCTGCTGATAGAGGCTGGTTGAGCACCTCCCCATCAATGGTGGCTCTGTGGTTTGGGTAGGTCTCTTCTGTGCCTATCGGTGTCTCCCAGCACTACTTCTGAATACTGGCACTTCTGTTATTTTTTTAAAGTTTTATTGAGGTGCACTTGATAATGCAATAAAATATCCACTTATTAAAAATGTAATTTGATAAATCTGTATACACCTAGGAAAGCATCACTGCAGTCAAAAGAATCCATTACTCCCAAAGGCTGCCTCCAATCTTTGATTTACTTGCTTGGTCTCCCCCCTACCCCTTCAGCACTGAGTATTTTTAACATCTTTGTTGTCTTCAGCAATGCTGAGAGTAGTCTGAGGGATCTACATTAACTGCTATCATCACTGTTATTTTTAATGTTTTCACAAGATGATAGACTTTCCAGGAATACATATATTGTGCAGTTGTAAAACAATCAGGTCACATAAAAACAAAAGGATACCGAGAGAAATTACAGTAATACAGCTCGTAAATTAAGAAGAAAAGGGAAACTGAGTGTAACACTTGGCAGAGTATAAGAAAATCTCCTGGGGCTGGGGATTTAGCTCAGCGGCATAAGCGCCTGCCTTGCAAGCAGGCAGTCGTGAGTTCAATACCTGGTACCGATAAAAAGGAAAAAGACCAAAAAAAAAAAAGAAGAAAATCTCCTAAAAAATTGAGTAAAATGACCCAAAACACGGGGCTGGGGCATGTCTAGAATTTTTCAAAGAATCAAATACAGTAATAGTTGTTTTCCAGGAAGGATGGGAAAAAAATGGGGGAAAGGGGCAGGAAACTACGAACAAAATAGTTAAAATTTCCAATTAAAAATAAATTTTAGATTGACAGTTTAGCACAGTGAATGAAAATACACATTAACATATTGTAAAATCTCAAAATCTTTATAGAGAACATTACATAAGTTTCTTGGGAGAGGAAAAACTATCACATGGAAGGATCACTCCCTGGGACTGCTTTAAACATTTTTTTTTTAAAGACAGGGTCTCCCTACGTAGTTAAACGTTTTTTTCTTTTGAGACAGGATGTCACTAATGTAGTTCAGGCTGACCTTGAACTCATGATGTGGACTAGGCTGGGCTGACCTCGAACTCTAACTCACAGGGATCTGCCTGCCTCAGCCTCCCAAGTGCTGGGATTACAGGAGTATGCCAGAACCACACCTGGTTGAACAGTGTGGTGGAATTTATACGTACCAACTATCAACCCAATACAAGGTGGGCAGTAAGGCATTTTTAGATAGTCCAAGTCGCATTTACCTTCCGTGTACCATGAGCTACAGAAGATGTTCTCTACCAAAAACAACAACAACAACAAAAAAAACACTTTGGAATATGAAAAATACAACATAGGAGAATGGCTGATATCCCAGCGTAGCTCTTTGTGCTCCTTGATGTGGTCACCAGCCCAAGCATCGAGCAGTAACATTCATACTGGTGGCTGTTGTCACTGAGATCACTACTGCCATTGGACATCCTTCACCTGGGGACATACCCTGGCAGGCCTGGTCCAGGCCTTATGAATACCTGCCTTGACCTGTGGTGACGAGCTGAACGCCTGCTTTCTTCTGTGCTTCCCTGACAGGACTCACTAAGGACACTCATTTTATGATTTTTGTATCATCCATTTCTGAAAGCTGATGCTGGGGTTGGTGTGTTTTTTACTTTATTTCACTTATTTTTTGATGCAGGGTCTTAGTATGTGGCCCAGGTTATCCTCCAAACTTGTTGCCATCCTCCGGCCTCAGTCTCCCAAATGTTCAGTTTATAGTTGTGTGTCACCATGCCCAGCCTTTGGCGAGCTTAAAGTAGCAATTACAGGATTTTCTTCCTTGTTTAACTGTTGGCTAGAAATCACGTGAGTTCTGTACTTGATTCCACATGCTTCAGCTGTGGAGACCTGAAGACTCACTCGTGATGTTGTCAACTAACTTAAGGAATCCATAAATCCTGGGGAAGAAATCAAATGAGGACTACTTGGTTTTCATTTAGAAAGACTACTTTCCTACATGCAGAAATACTACGCCTTTCCTTAAACTCATGCTTGCTGTTCAGATGGTCAAAACCAAATATGTGTGTTCTTGGGTGAGGAAACTGGAGCAGGAGTAATTAGGAAATCGGTAGTGGTTATCTTGGTAGAGGTGGCAAGGAAATTGAGTTGCAGAGGGGCATAAAAGGGCTTCCAAGACTGTCAGTTTCATAGCTTGAATGATGGGAACTCAGATGTACTTTGAAAATTTGCATGTACACACTTTAATACTGTTGAGATTATAGGAAAACACAGGTACCTGCCTCTCAAATCATGAACGATGAAAATTGTGCCAAAATGTCTAAAGGAGGGGGCGAGTAGTCATGAGAATCTACATTATATTTTAGGACTAAACCAGAATAAAAATAATGAGATTTATTCAGCACAGTGATCTTTTTTTAATTGGATGATGCTGTGATTTTTATCTGCATTTTATGATAGTTAACTCTAACCCTTAAAACTGATCTAAAAAGGCTAGTTTGTTCCCTGTATAACCTTCCAAATAATTTCATCCAAAAGTTGAAGATGGGGCCGAGCGAGAGATGAAGGCTTGGCTGAAGGCTTAGCAAGGGGCCTGGAAGCCTAAAGGAGTGAAGGTTTGTCGGGGTGCACAGCAGCAGCCTAACACGAGTGATGGCATCTCTGGGGATGTGCGCAGTGGCACAGGTTGCTGGGGTGGGAACGGAGAGCGGATCCCGGAGGAGGAAGCGGGACAGTGTAGGTTGTGTACGCCAGAGGAGGTGGGGAGGAGGGAACGGTGTGCATGGGAGGTGGCAGTGCATTCTGACTCAGTGGCGGTGCCCACAGCAGGGCCGAGTGGTGACAGGGGCAAGAGTTTTGTTCCAGTTTCACGGGTTTTCTAGGTTTAGGCTGTAATGATGCCTTTGAAGAATCTAACAAATCACACATGCAGAACCGTGACTGACATCCCAGGTGTTCCTCAGAGACACCCTAGCAGGCTGTCCATTTCACCGTTGGTCTGACTGCCCATCTGCTGTGGATTGCCAACCTGCTTGAGTGAGCCCTGTTTCTTCTAGTCTTTCTCTATGAAATACTCCTGTAGATTTGATCAGGAGTTTTAAATAAACCCAGCCTTGTCTTTAGAGCAGGGTAAAGACATTTCTCCTTTTGACAAGGAAACAACAACTCAGTAAGGTTAAGAAAACTGTACAAGTTGTGCAGCTGGGATTCCAATCTAGTTCTAGCTCATTCCATTGGCACGAATGGAGGCACACAATAATCTATGTCACATACTGGTTCCTTTAGAGGGCTTATCACAGTTCATATTTATCTTGTGTGCTGTTTCTCTTAAAAGAAGTTAGTCCTGTAAGAACAGGTTGTCTTAACGCAGTATACTTATAACTTATCTCAATGTCCAAAACATGAAAGTACTCAGTTAATATTTATCAACTGTAAAAGACCAGTTACCATTTTCCCAACATGTCAAAATGATTCTTTATTACAATGGCATACTTACATACCTTTTTTTCCTTTTCTGTAGATGTGTTACCTACAAAAGTGGATTAATTTTCATGCTAAATGAACATGGCCAATTCTTTAAGAGGAGAAGTACTGAACCTCTATAAAAATGTAAGTAATTATGTTGCCAGTTTCATAAATATTGTCTGATATGGACTGTTCTGAGATACATAATCTTTCTTTTTGAAGCTGCTGTATCTTGGACGGGACTATCCAAAAGGAGCAGACTATTTTAAAAGGCGTTTGAAGAATGTTTTCCTTAGAAACAAAGATGTGAAGGACCCAGAGAAGATCAAAGAACTTATTGAACGAGGCGAATTTGTAATGAAAGAGCTAGAAGCTTTGTACTTCCTTAGGAAATACAGAGCTATGAAACAACGGTATTATTCAGATACTGACAAAACTAACTGATCATTATTACTGTAGATTGACTGAAAATCAGTGCCAGCTGTCAGCATATCCAAAATACTGTGAAATCACCTAACTTAAAATGGCCTGGTATGTAAAAAATGAGCTGTTCGGCTGATCGAGAGCAACTTCCGATCTTTGCTGATACTGAGCTTTGCCCACAACTTTGCTCAACTTTTATTACTAAAATAGCTATACTATCAATTGTAATAATATACTTAATTCATTTTACTAATGAAGCCACTTAATCAAAGTAATTTATGTATTTATTGTTCTTAATAGTTGAAGTACTTTTTTGACCCAGTTTGGTACACCTGAAGCATGTATTCAAGGTCTGGTACAAAACAAATAGACCTTAGTCTGGAAAGCATACGAAGATTATGTCAGACCTTAATGTAGCCTGCCAATGACTGGCATTACGTAACTTCAGTTATTTCCATTAATTTGCTGCTGGCTCCTAACAGATAAGCAGTTCTGTTCTAGTTACCATCTTTCATAAAATGTAATAAACTATTACTTTTACTATCATCAAAGCAATCTGTTGTACATCTCCTTCTAAAAGGGTTAACATGGCAATGGACAGAATCCTAACATGATTTTAAGTTTAAATAAACAAACCTTTATATAATATTCTTAGTACATTTTAAAAATAAAGTATATTTCTAACTTTAGAGCTACTTTTGAAGATTCACTGGTATATTTACTTTGGTGTCTGTGGATTATAAAGTGTTCCATGTCAGTTGTGGGGCAATTGTTTTAAATTTCCATCAGGAAATACACATTATCGGGGCAAGGGTGCAGCTCAGTGGCGAAGCACTTTAACTAATAAATTTAAGGGCTTAGGTTTAACCTTTTAACACCTTAAGGGGAAAAAAAGCTTAAATAAGAAAACAAATACTGTCATAGTCACCATAACTATTTTTTATTACATTACGATAGGAGTGGTACAGTTCATGACAAAAATATTACAAATTTCGTATCACTTCACAGCACATACTCCTATAAACATTTAAAAGTTAATTTTAATTAAAAGAGTGGTCATTTTTAAATTTAATGTTTGACATGACCAACATTCCTAGGTCAGCGCAACCAAATGATGGAAAACAACTGGATCACACTGCATATGTCCCACAAAAAAAGCACAATGTACAAAATGTGCATGTTTCAGTTTACACTATACAAAAATAGTTAAAATACATTCCAGGTAAACATGTTACATTAAGAAATAGTACTAGTAAGAAATTGGCACTCAAAGGAAAAATGCAAAAGTATTTTCAACATGAAAACACAAGACAGTGGAACTGGAAACTTTCTGATAAAACATTACATGACCCATTTAGCTCTACTGGGGGACATGGACCCTCTGAAGTTGACGTATTCTGCAAATAAACTTTGTTTTTCCTAAATTCATCTAAAATGCCTATCGTCCCAAATAGGCACTTCAGACTATTAAACTAAAACACAAATCTTAATCTAGTTATGACTATTCTTCCGGAACTAAAGTTTATCTTCAGAAATTTTCATCTGGACAGGATTTTACAACTACGAGTTGTATGCTGTTCAGTTTCTCAATGCAGAATTCATGCTACCCAATATTAACAGAGAAATTTCTAAATATAAATTCATTTTTAAAGTAACTGGTGGGTTTTTAGAAGAAATTACTGGTTTTTGACAAATTTTTACTGTCTGTCCCTAAAACATATGTATAGTATTGTTTGGGAAAAATGGTTAAGAAAAGAAAATCACTAGAATACAAATGAGATGAGTTTGTGCAAACTAACAACATGCCTCACAAAGCGTGTGTGTGTGTGTGGACAAAATTGTGCAATGGTGGCAGAAGGATAATCTATAGAAGTTAGGTTCTAAGTTCTTATGCAGTGTGACTCAGTTAATAGAGCCTAGAGTTCCTAATTGAGAATATTCAAATTATGCTATAGATGGCTGCTGTATTCTTCCCACAGACATGTGAATGCCTAACACTATGTAAATTTAGCACTGTTTTCAACTTTAACAACAATTTTCATCTTTAAGGCTGTAGTAATTAGATAACATTTACATTTATTTCTAGGATTCTCTCCCCTTTTAAAAACTCTACAAAACAACCCTTTCGTTAAACCATTCAGAATTCACATAATAAAGGATAATTACTGCTACTTTAAAAAAAACTTGCCCAGCCACATAAAAAATTCCAGAGTCCTACATACCCCGCTATGCACTGAAGTTCCTGAAATGTGCCATTTCTTTCACTGTGTAGAAGCTACAGGAGGTACTGCATCAGTCACAACAACCCTATCTAGACAATGTTCCATAAACCTGTAGTTTAGGAAAGCATTATACAAGGCATACTTCATCTTTACAGAGGTTTCCTTTTCTGGGAATTAGCTCAGTCACCTGTTTATTTGTACCTGAATAAAACTATAATATTTAATTTTTTAAAAAATCTGTTTTAATTACTTATGCAGAGAGAAAACTAGAATATTATACACTTGGAAATTTTCACCCCTTTAAAACAATCAGTTAAATGGTTAGTAGTTCCAACTAAAAAGTTGCATTGGAATCACAGCAAGAACAATTACTGTAGAATGGGAAGAAGCTTTAGAGATAAACTCTCTCTTTGCAAAACTAAATTATATACTGTATCACATTACCCCTGGGTCACATGCCATATGTATTACTAAGATATGACAGAAAACAATACTACTTGAGGACAAGGATTATGTCCCTTTTTTGAGGCTATCAAGTCTCAGTGCCTTGTTAATGGCTGGCATATGACAGGCACTGAACATATATTTACTGCATAAATGAATTTTGCTGAGAAGCCTTATGAATTAAATTTTAAGGTATTATTTATTAGAAGATTGACTGCAGTTAATAAACCAATGGAATGTATCATTGTCAGCAGGACTAGTCCTAGATGTAGACCTTTATTACATTCTTCTACTGCAGCAGGTTGTCAATTCACACTAGGTTTGAAAATACCTACTTAGTCACCAATAGACTAGGTAGTGAAGAGATGATGTGCAAAAGACCAAGATGTAGGTGTGACAGCCACCTGACCATTAGCTGGTAGGCCCAATCCCGCTATGGCACTGCCCGGAGGAGGTGAGACACAGGACAGTTTGGATACACCTTCATGGACAGCCTTCCTGGAGATTCCATAGCAGCAATATATTATGAGGTTATGGGAATTAAAATATTAAAACTGCATTGAGTTATGGGGCATGGGGAGGATAGCAAGTAAGATGATATTAATATGGGAGAGAAGGACCGAAAGTAGTGAGTGAACATTCAAATACAAGCTTCACCTCTTGCACAATTTTGCCCAAGACTGGCAAAGATGATGATATACAGAGGTACAGCAGCTTATGCTGAGCTTGACAAACAGGTATATCTTTATGTAAACTGATTGTAAACTACGTAGCTGTAAAGTTAGATAGGGCCTTTGAGATGATTTAACATGAAGTAGATAGTAAATGACTTGCCCAAAATTAAGTTTTAAAAAACACACACCTAGAATCTGGTAACCTTCCTCCTAGCCCAGTGATATTTTACCTCACCACACCATCTCACTTCAAATATTTTAAATTAAGTAACACTTTATGTGTATTGAAAGAATTGGTTTTTTTTCTTTTTAAAGCTTTAGATGTTCTTAAATATGGATCAGACTTGAAAAGCATTCATGAAATGCTACTGTTAAACAGCCAAATGTAGAATTTGAAATTTTGTCAAGTCACTGCTATTTTAAAATAAAAGTTTTGGTGCCCTCCCACCCCCAAATTACAACTTTTAAGTTCATATTTTAAAGTAATTCTTTAAAAAGCATTTTTTTTAATTTCAAAAAGTGCTATGATTGTTGGTAAAAGACTACCACATAATGAGAATGCATTTTGTCGACCTATCAAAATTTTCTCCTGATGCCCATTTTGACCAACCAGTTCATGACAATGCTGGATGACCATGGGAATGCAGTCCCTGCTGTGAAACTCTCAGTGACACTCAAAGGTACCCAGAGAGGCTGGCTGTGCAACACCTAACTAAACTGTAACTGGCTCAAATCATCTTCACTAACACGACCAGAACCGAAACTATTTTTTTTTTTTCAAAAACTGAGGCTTAAATTTGTGCTAAGCAAGAGCAATCTAACACAGGGAGACTATATTTAATTCTATATAATTTTTATGCACATTAAAATTGTTTCAACTATTACCAAATTTTAGTAGCATGTAAATATAGTCCCAAAATGGTTGGTATAATCCCCATTGCATACTGGATCTGCCTTAGCAGGAAAAGTTAGGAATCTTACAGTAATTTATGTACTATGGAAAGTCAATGGCCTTTTAAAATTTTCCATACCTTATTTTTTTCTATTTTTCCCTTTTTATAGAAAAAATATAGTATTTTTGGAAGAATGACCATGACTAATAGCAGTGGAAAGGAGAGAAAACCTTGGTGAATAGTATAACTTTACATTCATGAAGGATGACAAACTATAGGTCATGATGTCTAGAAGATGAGTCAAAGGAAGCCTATAAATTTGTGATCCTTCAATATTTCAGTAAAACTAATAATAGTCTCAACTGAAATTATAATTACTAATAAGTCCATTTATGTGCCTAGGTAAAACATAAAACAGGGATGATTCAAAAGCATCATAAATCTGTTTCACACCAACATTCACAATTGGTAAGAAAAATAGGAAGTAATCAACTTGCATGCACCAAAAATCCCAAGACAGAAATCTCAGGTATTTAGTTTCTTTTTCACAGGCATTGCTAGTTCAAAAACCAAAATGCAGGGAATACTGGCACTTAAGAGGAAATAAAAGGTTTCCACTGTCATTTTAAAATGAGCATTTAAGATAAAAGCTAACAGTTTGCATGAAATAGGAAAAGAATTAAGTAATGCTAAAACAAAAGCTAATAATTTAGTGTAATGTACAAAAATTACCACTTTTACTTAAGTATGCCTTAAGAAAAAAGTACAAATTGTATTTACATAATTATACACTTTGTCTTCGACTTCTTTTTCTTCTTTTTACCATCTTTGCTCATCTTTTCTTTATGTTTTCGAATTTCTCGAACTAACGTATAGAAGGCATCATCAACACCCTGAAATACACAAAACAGTATAAATGTGAATGTTTATATCTGGTGACTTAAGGTACAGAGATAACAGATTCCATAAACATTAATATTGAAAGGATAAGGAGATTGTATGTTTTTCTTCAGGCAGCTGAATACATCAGACTTCTAGGAGCCTTAAATGGGTCTTCACAGGAATTCTGACATTACTAATGGAATTGTCACAACAGATGATGGTAATCAGTGACACAGAATCTTAAAGGAGCTTAACAATTACTTTTTTCACAGGATAACTTAATCTGCTACTATTTTTTTCTATCTTAGCAAACCTTACTCCTTAAATCTAAATGCATGCATGTATATATCTGTGTATGTGTGTGCACAGTTATGTATGTATACTTACCTTCCCTGAGTTTCTGGACTTTAACTATAAGCCATGCAACTGTAAACAAACTATTTTAAGAATTTCATAAATCACAACAATAGTATCTGGGCTCTCATTCAAAGCAAACAATAATCTGCAACTCCAACAACCTTTTTTAGTTTTCAAAAACGTTGAGAGACTAGTTTTAATCCATACATTATCATTAAGAAAGTGGTTTAAAGTGACCCTGCCAAAAGAGATTACTTTTTTGTTAGTACTTCTGATTTTTGAAGAAATGAGCTAAACCATCTAAACAGTGTTATAGTTTACTAATTTGGAGGAGATTCCCTTATTTTGGTTTCTGTTTAGTATATTATATAAAGAATGCCATATAAACAATTGACATGCAAAGAATTCAGCACTAAGTCTTGTGTCTGTGATTACAGCAAGGTGATAAATTCCAGATCAGGACTGGGGAATGGAGCTTAGTGGTAGAGTACTGTGTAGTATTTGCAAGGCCCTAGGTTCAACCTTTAGCCAAAAAAAAATCCAAACTGGTTATGGCTAAAAACGATCTTAAGTCAAAATAATTTTTAACCTAATAATCCACAGTGTGAAAACTAGGATTCTGAATGGCAGCAGAATAGATTTTTACCCTTGAACACTTGATTGTGTGTGATCAACATGTCAGTCTTACCGTGTCTGTTAATAAGTGAATTAAACATAAGTGCAAAAAACTGAAAAAATAGGATCCTCTCCTACTCTAAAATCATTTTCGCCCACTAGTAAATACAGAAAGAAAACAATGTTAATCTACTAATGCTTCCAAACCTAGACACTAGAGGGAGCCTTAGGAACAAATACCCAACAAAATAAATTGGATGTATCAAGCAAACTAGAATAATGAATTAGGTTTTTATTCACTATAATTTACCTTTGTTGAATAATTCTATAAATTTTGCAGTATGTACTGTAAATAGCCTCTGCATAAATATACTAAATTGCATTATCTTAAAATGTAAGTGATAGCATTTATCCTTTAACATATTACTCAGATCTTCAACAACATATTTCAAAACAACAAATTAATTCAGAGCATTTTCTTTCTCAAGTTATTTAACTAACCTCCAAAACTGATACATAACTCAGAAAAGTATGACCAATATTTTCAAAGAGGTAAAGAGTGGCAGTGAAGACTCACCCAGATTGAAGCAAACAGCAGTATAAAAGCCGGCATCACTGATCTGAATACCGTGGATAACTGTTCCCTATTGAATACTCAGACTGCATTCAGTGATGCTTTCCACTTCCTAAAGATCATTACTGACACAATACAAACCTATGCTTTGTTTCTCCCCAGGGATAAGCGACACTTTATTAGCAACAAAAGGCATACTCATCTGTGTATCTCCTTTCATGCTATGCTTAACACATATAGAATGGAAAACTTACAAAAACATAATAAAGGTTATCTGTAACTCACAAACAGTTGACAGTTGAGATCAGAAATCCTGAGAGTAGGATGCAATCTTAAAAGAGGATCTGTAATTCCCTTACCCTTCATGAGTGAATTCCCTGTGGTCATACACTCTTACCTAGCTTATTTGAACTACTTTTATATTGAAGCAAAAATGCCAGTAAAGTAGAAAAATGAAAAGCCATGAAGATAGAAAGAGAAAACTTTCTAAGATAAAAAATATAAACTTATGTAACTAAGACACAGTAAAGCTGGATGCCGTGGCACATGCCAGTAACCCCAGCACTCATAAAGCAGAGGCAGGAAGATTGGCCAGCCTGGGCTACACAGTGAGTTCAAAGCCAGCCTGAAGTACAAAAGGAGATTCTGTCCCAAAACATTCCCTCCCCCACCAAAAGAGAGACAGTGAAGGCAGAACTTGATAACATGACTCTCTTCAAAGATTCTGATGAATACTTTAAGCTCACGTTGCACTGAGCTCTACATTAGATAATTTCAATGAGTAGGCCAAGTGTTAGTTGACCTAACCAGTATACCGAGTTTCTTTTTCTTATGTAGAACAGAACTAATCACTCTCATGTGTATATGTGAAAGACTAAAACGAGTATCTATGTAACAGTTTAAGCCTATCTTTTTCAGGACTAAGAAAAACTGATTTGTATACACTTATTATCAAATTAAAGCTTTGAAAAAAATATTTTTAATGAACTGTAAATATTAGGAAAGTACATTTTTTTCTTTATATGTGTCCTTCAGTCCACTAAAAGACAAGGATTTAGTTCATCTTGTCAAACAACTACTTCACATTTACACTACTGTCAATTATGAAAACTGCACAAATTAGGTATTTCAGAATAGCATGACTATAAAGCATAAAACATTTTTGAATATTTGAAAGTTTATTTTCAAAATCTTGTAATAAAATAAATTGGTTATGACACTGTTATTTCAAAAAGTTAACTTTTCAAGTTGTATTTTAATGTTTTATTTTACAACTTCTAAAATTAAGGTGCTACTTATACAATGATAATAATGTCATAATGTTTTATTCTGAGTTTAGTAATTGAGTTTACTACATAATGGCTTTTTGGACCAAGTTTACTACTCAGATGTATATTTTAAACATTTGTAGGAGAAATAACTTGAGACTTGAAATATGTAATCTATTTTTAGCTTAGTACAATAAATGATATTCTAGCAGCTTTGAAAATTACATGTCCTCAAAGAATATATTACATACAACAAGCATATTACATATGCTTTGGCATGAATTTTATGTCTGTCATCTACTGAATGAGGCTTTTTTCTGAACAAGACAGAAGTTAGAAAGACTCTGTTCAATAAATCTTTACTGGGCACAGCCACTAAGTGTAGGAACCTTACTATGCAACGGACATGCAAAGATTAAAAATATATGGTTCCCTAGATGCTACTGCCTAATACAGGACTAAAACAAGAAGTTATTTCAGCGTAACATGGGCAGTATGTAACAGTAAAAACACAGCATGCTGAATGACGTACGCAGGAAGCATACCAGGCCCCAAGGGTCTGAAGAGATGCTGAGAGACTACGACGCCGAGGAATCATGAAGCGTGCCAGCTACTTAACAAAACCATGGATAAGAATCTTGGTATTCCAGACAAAACCCAAAATCAAGCAAGGTGGGTTTTATAGACATAAGGCAAAAAAAGGCTGGCAAGGTGGTGTTAAGGCCCATGTACACCATGCTGTGGGACCTGAGCTGTTATTTAGTAAGCCAATGGCTTACTACAGGGAAGATTACAGGGGAGAGAAGCCCATTCTTTTCATCCTCTCTCCACTTGCACAGATGGCAGCAACAGGTAAACAGGAGGTTAAAACAGTCCCAGCAATAAAATGAGAGGCCCGAACAAATGATATGATACAAAAAAGACAGTAACACCCTAGGAGTTTACAGTACTTCCTAACTGGTGTGAAAAACTCTTATCAATTGAAAACTCCGGGGTTAGAATCCTTAAGGCTTATGCAGTGTTTAAAAGGAAAAGTACATGGTAAGAGGGGCCCTTCCCCATATGTTGAGCCATTCAACCTTCCTGTTCTACACCATTTCCTGTTTTTCCTAAGAAAAAAATAAAGTTGATTATTTCAAAGCCTGAATCTGATTTTCCTTAAAAATAAAGTTAACAGTTCCCAAATGGTTAGCTAATTTAAGACTGAAACATTTAAGAGTTTATGCTGAACATAGATTGCGTATGACAGCTATCAAAATGGTCTCAAATATAATACTTATTACATTCAAAGTAAATGTATTATGGAAGTAAACAAGATTCTTATCTCAATTCTTCAAGTTACAATACCACACCTAAATCGGTCCATGTGATTGCTACTTTGTTACCTCTGAAAGAGATCTGCTTTCTGTCAAAATTAATACGCCAAACTTACCAGATTACATTATAATGCATTTTTTAATTTTCACACAGCCAGGAGTCTTTTCTTCTTTGCTGATTTTTTTCAATCTGTATTGTCGAATCTCTCTCACCAATGTATAAAAAGCATCCTCCACTCTCTGCATTGTAAAACACAACTTCTTTAAAAGTCTGTTTCACTGGTAAGAATAATGTATTGGGACAGCCATGTGCAAGAAGTTTGTAACTGAGTTTCTTGAATTTTTTTTTAAACAGACACTTTTGAATAAAATTGAGGATGCATTTTTTAAAATATAGGCTAGAACCTGGTTTGCTTTTACAAGTTTTGTTGCCTAATAGAATTAGTTTTTAAAAAACTGAATTTAGAGTTGGGGAGATTGTCAAAAACCTTTGTTTATCAATTCAGACAGTCATTTTTGTTTGCCGTCAAAAAGTTAATGCCTAAACTGAAGCTGGGTTTACATTATTTAATTGCTTACAGAGGGAAGTGAGGAGAAAAGTGGTGCAAAAGGAATATCCAGTCATTGTTAAAATATAAAAAGTATCTTGCAATAACTGAGTCAAATTTTCTAATCCCACAACTAGAATTGAGACAGCTCTTTGTGGCTGGATAACTACATTATTTAAATATTAAATGGGGCCATTTATCAAAATACTAAAATGTCACAAACTGCTTAAAATATGCACAAAACAGGAGCAGTGCATTTTATATTTTTCTGCAAATTAAAAAAAAAAACAAACAAACAAAAAATAGGCAGTGCAGAACAGTGTTCAAACACAGGTTTTGTGTCCTCTCTTCTAATTTACATATTCTGTGTGGGTTAATCCAGGTAGGACTACGATAAAAAAGCTGTAAAGGCACATTCATATAAGCCCAACCTGGAGATAAAGTTGTTACTTTCCCTAGCCCAGAAAATCAGGCAGCAGCTTAAGGGGACAGAGTACTTGGCTCACCATATTACTAGTCCAAGCAGAAAAACAGCACCAAAGTCAAGGTTTCCATTTAAAAGAGAAATGCATATTCCTATTAATCTTCAGGCACTGTGAATTCGCTTTAAAGATGTGGTATTTGTGTTCACTCTTCTAAAAAGATGTGAACACTTAGGAAGACTGGCATATTTTACTATACATTTAATTTTAAGCTTATTGTGTTTGTTTCATTTTAAGAGTGAATTGAATTACCTGGGACATCAGCATATTTTAACATTTTGCAATTAGTAGCGTCAGTGTTTCTACTGAACTGACTGTGACAAAGTGGACCCAGCACCTACAAAGCTAATATATATATAAAAGGTATGATTTACAGTTTTGAATTTAATGAAGCACAAAATCAGCCACTGAGTATTAAGGGCAATAAGTGAATAATGGGCTTAATTTTTATATGCTGAAGTTATTTGTATATTTACTGTCAACTACAGTTAAGACACTTCAATTCTTTGGGGTACATTTTTATATATCTCAAGAGTACTCAAGAACTGCTTCAGTAAAGTTCAATAATTTATCCTTAAAAGTTTTGTTAAAATTAAGTTTCAGTTAAGAAACAGGCATCTAAATATGATTATATACTAAAATGTGTATTTCAAGCTTTCAACATACCATCCAGGTATATATATTTCTATTTAACAATCCCCACAATACAAACAAATCTTACAGCTCAAGAAAATTTTATCTTATTTTTAATGGAATCAATTTAATTAACTATCCAGCTAAGCCAAACAGAAATACAGATTTCCAAATTCTTTTTTTTTTTTAAAAGCATTAAATGTGCTGGCACTTTACATCTGCATTTGTACTGGTTTAAAAAAGCTTTTAATACTTTATATGTATCATTAATTCTCAAAAACTTTTTATTCATTTGTTCTTGAAAAACTATAATTAGAAGTTTTTTTTAAGCAAAGTAATTTAAGACATTAAGCTGACTCTCATAAAGCATGTAAAAAATGTAAAAGAGATGTCACTTGATAGTTTTACAAATGATTTTTTCAATTTGAAAATTAATGCAAGTTTAACAGTATGTATTTGTATATCTCTACATAGAGATATTTATATACAAACCAGGTAAAAGCTCATATTTTCTTGAAAGTTTTACGAATGTAAACTTTATTCCTGTTTAAAAAAAACATTCAAGGTCATTGTAGAATTACTAAAATAAGCTGCAAGGAGGATAATAGGGTACTGGTTCTCTACTAATTTAGCGGAAGCAAATTTTGATTGTAACTTATTTCTAAAATCAGTTTGAAAGTATCTGCTTCCTTAGTGTAAGCATTACCATCACCAATACCAAAGTATATGATTTTTGTTTCCAGCAATGCAGAGAGAGAATTGGAAGCCAGTAATCAAGAAGAGATCATTACCCACCACCAAAAATTTAGTGTTAGGACCTCACTGGCTAAGAGAACACTTAAAAACTTTTCCCAGAACGACTTTTTCCATTTCTTATTTTTTCTGATAAGAAATTTAATTAGATTTCATAAATCTGTTGTCATTTTTCAGATCTGAACTAGTTAGTTCTTTATGATATTTCTGAAAGTCAGACTGCCATCAAGAGAATGTGAGGAGGCCGAGCCACAGGGGTCGTCATGAGCCTGGTCTGGGCAACTGAGTGAGACCCTGACGTAAAATGGAAGATTAAAGAAGGGCTGAGATGAAAGTAGCTTGGGGTGAAGGCCTTGGGCTTGTGCCAACCCCCAAGGGAAGGGAAGGGACGGGAAGGGAGGGCAGGGCAGGGAGGAGAGGGCAGAGGGCCTACAACACAAACACATTGTTATTTATCTCTGCCTTACCACTGCTATTGGATGTTTTTGAAAACTGCATACAGCTAGCATACAACACAACACAACTGTGAAAAGACTCATTTCAAATTCCAAAATTTGAAGACAATTTTTAAAGATCATGTGTAGCTGAAACATATTTAGTACCCACCATGACCAGTTGCTAATAAGCTCTTAATTAGTACTTAGTGATTTACCCTTGAAAATAGAGTTTATTACTTTATATACTCACTTTCAAATGTCACTAAATTCTAAGAACAAATGATATTTATGTACAAATAATAGTGTATGCATGTAAATTATTTTTCAAGTCAAGACATTTCACAATATTTTCTTTTTTTTAACTTTTTTTTTTTTTGGTACCAGAGATCGAACTCACGACCGCCTGCTTGCAAGGCAGGTGCTTATGCTGCTGAGCTAAATCCCCAGCCCCAATATTTTCAACTTAAATATTATAAAACAGACATGTAAGGGTAAATAGCTCTTCATAATGCAGAAAGTGCTATTAATAAATAATATTACTGATATCCTAATGCCTATGCTTTCACTGAAATTTGATTTTATCAAGTATTTGTTCTGAGGGCCGGGGATTTAGCTCAGTGGTATAAGCGCTTGCCTGGCAAGCGCAAGGTCATGAGTTCGATCCCTGGTACCAAAAAAAAAGTATTTGTCTGCCGAATCTGCAAAAATTCTTGTAAAAATTTTTCAAGTAAATAACATCAAATTAATTACAAAAAGACAAGAATATCAGCTTTTTTGGAGAAGAGAATGGACGAACAAGATGTACTCTACAAAGCAACTTTGTATCACTTACAGTCTCATGAATCTTGTCAGATTATAGCCCATTTCAGGTAGTACTGAAGTATAACATTAACACTACTTGGGAGGGTAGGCATGTTATACAGTAAGCTTTTAGTAACTATCTTGTTTCTTTTTAGCTCATAAAAAGCCAAAGTTCACAATACTAATACACAAAATCAAAAGACAGACATGGCACATGAGACTTCCTGTTTTGCTTTAACTTTTTTTTTCTACCAGGAATTGAACTCAGGACCTAGTGCTTGCCAGGCAGGCGCTGCACACTGAGGTCTATCCTCAGCTGTTTTGCTTTAACTTTAGGAAAAACTTTCTTTAATGGAAGTCTATCAGTCAGTTTTATGTATCTAGAAATTAACAATAAAAGCAGGAAATTAATCACTCAACACTATTAAATTTGGAAAACTAACTTTTTTCTTTTGGTATCACAGATTGAATTCCTGACCTTGCACTTGCCAGGAAGGGGCTTACACCACAGAGCTAAATCCCCAGCCCCGAAAACTAATTTTTACATTATGTTTAAACTGAAACCACCAGTATGCAAAAAAGCTGAATCAGAAGTAGCAGATACTTAGAAGTCTGCTTCTGTCATCTACTTTACTGAACCCTCTTTACTTTTAAGATTTTAGCTGACTGGAAGCTCAAAGCTATTCCCCATAGTGTAAATGTTTCAGTTTTAACCATTTCTGCCAACAATGCTATGCTACCCAGGAAAATCCATCACTTACTGTCCAGATAAAAATGTGAAAGTAAGTAGCAGTCCTGATAAAATAAGCACACAGGGACCACAGGTAGCATACAAGGGGAAAACAACTCCTATAAAGACTAAAATACTATAAAGAATATAAAGTGCATTATATTCTGCACAGGTAATAGGCATTCTGAAATTACAAAGCAATTAAACTGGTAAATATATATATCCTGCAATACCATAAAAAGTACCAGAGTAACATTTCTAGTTCCCTTTCATAAAATACAGAATTTTAACTTTAAAATTACAGTACTAGAGTTCATGTGTAAAATTTTAGTTCCAAGTCTGGCCTAACTTCCAGTTTCTAATCAAACAAAATTATCTAAAACATCAGGAATTAGCACAATATGATCCATAGGCCAAAAAAGCATTTACCTCTTTTGTACTACATACAAGCTAAAAAATGATTTCGTAATTTAAAGTTTTATAAAAAAAAAAGAGCAACAGATTGCATCTGTGGCCTAAAGTCCCAAATATTTTTAGTATCTGACTCTTTACAGAAAAAGCTTGCTAGTCCTTAACTTGAAAGAACTTCCAAATGAATGTTCTGTTGGTACTTCTGTGAATAAAATTCTTTTCAGTCTTTATGTTCTAGGCTCACGAATGAGACCAAAAATTAAGGCGCAAAGTCATGTGCTGATAAAATATATAAAGGTGTTCATATTTTATTTGAATGACAAACCAAATAACCAATGAAGTAATAAAGTACTCTGTGAAAGGTAGGGATTCAAATCCTCACAAAAACTGTGAGATGTAAAATTTACTAAACTATGGTACATATTGTGTACCATAATTTCTAAAACTATTTGAAGTAGCTCTTTAAAGTCTTCCAGAAGCATGTAAATAGCAAATTAATTTCAAATATGAAAGAATAATAACTTTCCAAAAGCAAATCAACAAGTCCATTTGATAAAAAACAAATTAAATATCTTAAATTATACAGTTTATCAACATATACTACATCAAGATATAAGTAAGACAAGGTAAGCTGGGCGTGGTGGCGCATGCCTGTAATTCCAACACTCAAAAGGGGAAGGCAGAAAGATCTCTGTGAAGTTAAGGCCAGCCTAGGCCACAAAGTAAGTTCAAGGCCCGCCTGAACAGCATAATGAGACCGTGTCTCAAAAAGACGGGAAACAAAAAGGGTATAAACACAAGAATGATGGACCACTGTTAAGTTCTTTTGTAGTAAATCTTTCTACCTATTAAGATGATACACATAAATTTCTAAAAGCAAATTTAGGTTAATCTACATCTATATCATATACCATCAAAAAGAAATCTAAATTTAAAAAACCAAGGCCACGATCAATATAAAATCTAAAAATCCAAGGTCTGAAGACTGGCAATTTTCTGATCGATTATGAATGCAGTGGAACATTAAAAGCATTAATAATGTTAAACACCAAGAATAAATCAGTATTTATGAGGCAGCAGCATACAGAGAAAAGAGACAAAATTGTATTTCACACTCATCAATGAGAAGCACAGAGCAACGCTGTGGGATCCAGACGACTGCTCGTCTCTACTGCCTTCCTATGCAGTGACCCATGTGCCAAAATCAGCTCCACTGGAAGCTTATTGGAAATGCAGAATACACAGGATTCAGTGGAGTCCACGGAGCAGGAACCTGGATTTTAATCAGCCCAGCTGATGCTGTGCATGCTAAACTACAAAAAAGCACTTCTCTTGCAGTCTTTTATGTTAGTCTCATGGTTTTTCATGCAAACTTTGCAAATGTGTTCAATAAAATTCTTCAAATTTTATATTTGAACTTTTTTTTTTTTGTCTTTTTGAGACAGGATCTCGCTATGCAGTTTGGGCTGCCTTTGAACTAACTTTGTAGCCCAAGTTGGTCTCAAACTTGCAACAGTCCTCCTGCCTCAGCCTCCAGAGTGCTGGGATTACAGGCGCGTGCCACCATACCTGCCATATTTAAACATCTTAATGAGAAAATCTTAGGAGGAAATGTGTTAAATCGTGTTTTCTTAATACAGTCTCTCCTGAGGAAAACTGAGGGGACTAAATTGAGAGGAGTAAAGAGAAAGGAATAACCAACCTCTTCCCCTCTGTGGTGTCTGGGACTAGATTTGAATGAAATCTGACTTAGGCTGTGAAGTCCTGTCTGCCTTTAACCTATAAAGCAGATGTGGGTGAAACTGCCACAGACAATATACTCACATGATGGCCAAACTAATCCCACCAAAAACACTTAAAACAGAATTTACTGTCTTTTCTCTCTGTGTGTCAAATTTGCACAACCAGCAAGAGGGACATATGGCATCCTGCTAGGGACATAAGATATATATCCCAGCTGAACAATTTTAAACTTGAGCTTTATAGAATGGTCTTTTTTAAGTTCCTAGGTATCTGTAACTAGAAAAAGCCCAAACAAATTAAATATAAGTTGATCAATTACAATGTAAGTTGTATTCCATCATGTCTTTGTATATTCATTTCTGGAATTTTTTTCTGTACGTTAAACTTATTTTATACAAAAAGTTATTGACATAATATCAACTGAAATAATTTTACCTAGATAAGAAGTAATTTTCAAAATGGAGATGATTTTTGAAACATTCAATTTTAACCTGGAGGTTTTTTGTCAGAACAATAAACTAAATGAATAACTGAAAATCTGTATTTACTTTCTATATATTCCCTTGCTTTAATGAAAACTTACTTCAAAAACAAATATATCCTCAAAAAAAATTCTGCATGACAAAACTCTCCAAATACAAATTTACTCTAGAAGCAAAGCTTAATTCTGTGAAAAGTGCTTCCAAAATAGGAGACTTGAAATTTGTTCCCATTCTTTGACATTATGTGTATAACCATGATTATCAGATGATTTCAAAATTAAAGAAAATTTTTCAGTCAAAAGTATTATCATGGTCACTGGCTTAAGCATTGCTCTCTCAAGAATAAAACCACTTAACATTGCTTCATTTCCTACTTTCGTAAAAGAGAGAAATTTAATAAATTACAGTAAGTGATTTAATGTGTAGTAACAGGATGCTACCAGCTGTATACGTTTATGAATATTGCCTTCCTGTCTCTAGAATGGTATTATTAAAATATGAATTAATTATGATTAATGATTAAAATGATATATTTTATCAGAAATGGATTTGTATTTATTTGATTTACTTACCTGTCTTGTCTTTGCTGATGTTTCAATAAAAGGAATTCCATAACTTCTTGCTAAGTCCTGAGCTTGTTTTGTGTCTACTGTTCTAGAAGGCAAATCACATTTATTTCCTACTAGGACCATAGGTACATCTTCAGAGTCTTTAACTCTTTTAATTTGTTCTCTGGCAAAGAAAAAAAGTTATAGTAGAGGCATTAGTAACTCCAAAAATCCTTCAAAAACTGTCAGAAGTCCTAACTTTTGCCACAACTTTTGCCTCATGAACACTTTTTCATGTAGTTCTTAATTTCTACCTTATCAAATTTCCTTACTGGTTATTTTCTATTTACCTAAAAAAGCACAGTGAAACTACAATCTAATAGGTTCATATGCATGTAGATCATGATTAGACAGAAAATACTATGCCTAATTTAAAATTGTATACAATGACGTTTATCAAAATACGAAGTACAGCATTAATGTAACTTTGGCATTTCAGTAGTCACCTCTTACCCGTGAGGTTCACGCTGCTAGACTGCCAGTGGATGCTTCACATGGCAGATAGTACTGAGCATACACTGACAATAAAGTTTAATATAGAAGTATTAGACATAGTAACATTAACTAATAAAACAACTACAGCAACCTATTGTAATAAAGGCTACTTAACTTATTAGTTGCCTATTCATGGAATTTTTTTCCATTAATATTTTCAGGCTACAGTTGAGCCTAGGTGAAACTATGGATAAGGGAAATACTGTCCTTTCCCAAAACAGAAAGTGATAATTGAAAAGACTCTGACTTCTCCATGAGCAGTCGGAAGACATCACACTGTTTATTATGTGAAAAGCTTGCCTATGTGTCGCAAGTTTCCACTAGAAGATGTGCATAAGAACAGAGAAGGCTCTGGAGTTGAACAGGCCTAAGTTTCAATCTAGCACCGCTACTCCCACTGACACTATCTGGAACAAGTTACTCGGCTGCTCTAATTCTCAGGAACCTCACTTGTAAAGTGGAAGGTTACCTACCTCACAAGTTATTTTAAAATTTAAATTAGATAATGTATGTGTGGCAATTAGGAAATGCTCAATAAATGAAAGCTACAATTACTTCTCAATGTCAATTTATTATGTTCAACTTGAACCCACCTATAATGGTGAATATCTTCAAAAGATTTAGTATTATTTATGGCAAATACACAAAGAAAGCCCTCCCCAGTCCTCATGTACTGGTCCCTCATTGCACTGTACTCCTCTTGACCTGCTGTGTCGAGAATATCCAAGAGACAGGTTTCTCCATCAATTACTACTTGTTTCCTGTAGGAATCCTGAGAAGGGAGAAACACAGTCTGGATTATTATAGTGCACCTTTTTAAAAGGTGTTACATACAGCAACAAAAAGACAAACCCACTCAAAATGGGCAAAGGACCTATGTAAATATTTCTTCCCAGATAGACAAAAGGCCTATAAACACATGAAAAGATGGTTAACATCCTCAGCCATAGGGCAATGCAAATCAAAACTGTGAGACACTGTCTAGCACCTGTTAGATAGCCATTATTACAAAACAAAACAGTACCAGAAAATAAAATAACAAATGTGGCTAAGAAGATGTGAGAAACTGGAATCCTTCAACAGCAGTGCTGCTGGGAATATACAATGGTTCAGCCTTAGTAGAGAACAGCTTGGCAGTTCTGTGCAAAGTTAATGGTAGCATTACAGTGCTATTCAGCAATTCCATCTGAAGGTGTATCACTGGAAACAAAAGCAGGATTTGAAGTCCTTGTACACCAGGGTCTATAGCAGTATCTACCATAGCCAAAATGTAGAAACAACTGTCTATTAACGGATGCTTATACAACATTGCAATGGTTGTATAACATTTTGAATGTACTTGATACCACTAAATTATACACTTAAAATGGCTACAGTATATTTTGCATTATGTATCTCTTCCTAAAAATGTGATTTTTAAAGTGTCATATGAAGAAGCAACAACACAAATGTTTGTTAGTAACAACAAAATTTACCTGTAATAAATTATTACCAAAACAGAATTAGTTCTATAATTTGATTATTCAAGATAAATTTGTAAATCAGTTTACAAATAATTGTCACAAGTTTATTTTATAGTCAAAAGAATACATAGTAGGGGCCAGGGATCTAGCTCAGTGGTGTGTTGCCTGCCTGGCAAGGGTGAGGTCTTGAGTTCAATACCCAGTACTCACAAAAAAAAAAAAAAAAAAAAAAAAAAAAAACAAGAAAAAAGAATATATACCAGAATAGTCAATAAATGGGATTCTAATGCCACTGGCCACTTGTGAAAAGCCTAGAAACAACGTCTAACCACTGGATGGATACTATAAAGTTCACAACTGTGTCATCTGCAAACTCTGAGAGCCTTCTACTAAAAAGATGGAGGTGGAAGTGGGCAAAGGAAAGACAGAAGGAGGGAAAGAGGCTGAGAGAGAGGTATAAAGGGAGACAAGGACATGGAGATTTCTGAAACTATTGAACTGTAAGAATGAGCAGCAGACGGATGGTGTTGCTCGGTGGTGGCGTGCTTTCCTAGCGTGCCAGAGGAACTGAGTGTAACAGCTGACACAGACACATCTCTCAGACACACACACACACACACACACACACACACACACACACAGAAGTATGTAGCTTTAACAGAATCTTGAAATAAGAATCCAATTTCTGTCTGACCTTTGAATAATACTGATGAAATTTTACATCCTCTGTCAAAACAGGCCTCAAAAAATAAGGGAAGGGGATGGTATCATAGGAAGCTATGGAACAAGAAGCAGAGCTGACCACAGGTATGAAGTATACAGAAAGATGCTGTTTCTTACGTCCCACAGATGGGCTGTCGTACTTAACTGCCCGTAGTTCACAAATCCCCGTACCAACCATTCTATCACTTGGGAGAAGAGGTCATCACAAGTCCTGACTTTAGTAAAGTATTTCAAAACCGTTTACAAAGACAACACTAAGGTACATGTACAGTAGGACCCCAATCACATGAGTGTACACAGCTGTATAAATGTACCTGCAGACATATTTAAAAACTAGTGGTATAGACAACAAAAGCCTTTAAAAGGCTGTCTTTAACGGAGATGACTAAGGGAGACCTATCTCACCATTACAAGATGCTGCAATCAATTTATTTCTTTAGATTTCAGTTAAAATTTTTTGATGCTAGAGACTAAATCTAGAGACCTCATGTATGCTACACTCTTACCACTCACCACACCCTTCAGCTCCTTTAGCTTTAAGGAAGAAAGACTACATTAGACTATCTCACTTATCTATTGAAGTATACTTTCTGTATTTTTCTAGATTATTTAATAAAAATCAATTATCTCAAGTTAGAAAACGATGGCTACTTTCTAATGAAACTCTTAAAGATTTGAATATTTGGTTGAAAATGTTAACCTATTCACTTGATTAACTACTTGAAAGAATTTTCTGTAAGTTATAAACTGAAAACTTGAGTTTTGTTTTGTTTTTCTAAATGCTCAATGTGTGTGTGGGGGGGGTGGCAGTGCTAGGGGCTGAATGCCCAGAGCTTCTGGCATACGAAGCAAGTGCTCTACACCTCGTATTCGAAACCAGTATTTTGAAGAACAATGAAAAAAGCAGGAATTGAAGGCAAAGAATAGTGTTTTATAGTCAATTTATTACCCAGATGTGGCTCCAATCATGTAAAAGTGACCAAAAGTTTCATTTCACCTACTGTTCAGTTCACATTTTTTATGCACCAATAAGAACTGAAGTTAAAGTTACCTCCTCAGTCTTCAAATCTCAAACTATTCACAATAAAGTTCGACACTATAGTTTAAGGGCTGGCCTTGAATTCGTAATGATGCCTCAGCCTCCTGAGTGCTGGATGACAAGCATGCATCGCCATGCCCAGCTTGCTTCGCTATTTTAAAAAAGTAATTCACAATCTACTCCTAATGCTAGTGATTAGAAATAACAGGTTTAGGATAAAATTCAGTTTCTGAAGTTAATCTTAACTGGAACTCTTTCTTAGAAGCATAAGCAATCACTGAACTATTTTTAAAGAGCAAAATAATTTGGTAAAAATTAAAGAACAAAACTGCTAAGTAACAAAGCACAATTACAAAAGAGCTGACTGGTTTTTATTTTTTAAAAGCTTTGTTTTGTTTTGTTTGGTACCGGGAATTGAACTTGGGACCTTGTGCTTGCCAGGCAGGCGCTTGTCCCGCTAAGCTATATCCCTGGCCTCGGAAGCTTGAAGAGAGCAGCAAGTACGCATTTTGTTCTCACATCAAGTTAGTTAAAAAAAAAAAAAAAAAAGTGCACACTACGCTATCAAGAGTGAGCTGTAGATGAAATTTAAAATTTCCAGTAATACAAATAAGTAGGCACAATCCTCTTGAAAAACAATTACAAAATTTATCTAGAATATAATTAACAAAACAATGGTACTTATGGTAAATAAGGAAATAAGTTTATTTTAAGAGAACAGCACCCTAAAATGTCTTACCAAGGAAAATTATAGGCACTTAATCCACACCACTACCTTATGCTATTTATCGATTCTCAAAATAGACCCTAAATCCAAGCACCCACCACCATTCGCTTGCCCCCTTCTTCACTAGTCCAGCGGTAGTGAAGGGTGAAGGGTGGCCTGTGCGAGAAGGCCGGCCTCCCTGCCCTCGTCCACCACTATTCTGTCTCACACACTGCTGTAGCGATTGCTTCCTAGCAGGTATTCCTGTTTTTCCACAGAGCAGCAAGTGAATGTTTTTAAATAAACCCTGAACTTGGAAAGCAACCAATGCCTGTCTGCTGAATAAATGAACAAATCCATTCAAAGTAAATAGTACATACATGCACACACACACACACACACACACAAATTTCTATTAAAATTCTAAGTTAATATACACACAATTCATCACATTTTTTAACTTATTAAATCCTTCTAAATATCTTACACTAAAAATAATGAATGTTTTTAAATGAATTCTACATAACTCATGTCCCTGTTTCAATGTACGCATTTGCAAGGGCAAAGTTTTAAACCTCTCAACAATGTTTAAAATCTTTTTCTAAAACAAGTCTTACAAAAACAAGTACAAGTTTAAGATATTATAAATTTGATTAAGATGAAATCATAAAATTTTAAACCACACCCATGCGTAATGTATTGAATGGTACCTTTAAGTTGTATATGATATGAATACTACTATGTAAAAATATAACAAAGAATACATATAGAGATTTGAAAATATTTACAAGGAAGAGTATAAGACCGGGGAGGAGAACACTGTATTAAGGTTGTATCTTATAGGGGAAGAGCTAACCCAAATGTGGCAAAATGCTAAGATCTGACAAAGTTAGCTGATACACACCTAATGCTCATTATCTTACTTTTCCACATAACATTAAGTATATACTCTGTTTACCACTATTCACTCACAAGGACTTTACAGTTTTATTTTTCTTTACATTTCTGTTGGTTCAATAGGTTAAAATATCTTACTGTTTTAGTATTAGTTTCTTTGATAAGTAGTATTTTATATATTTTCACATTATCACCATCAACACAAGTGTTTTGCTTTTGGAGGTTTCATCTGTTTTTACATTAACTTCTATGATTTTTTAATATAGTACTATGTATCCCAGTGTATCACTTGCCTCTGAATGTTGCTTCCATGAATACAAACTTACCTGCTGATACATGAAAACTGAAAGCTCAGGTAAAATCATTCCAGGTAAGATAAATTCACTGATCAGAAAATCAGTTTGTTGTTTTGTATAATGAATAACCAAATCATTCCACATGCTTATTGTTATGAATTAAAAACCAGTCAACTTAACACCAGCTGAATTAAATCAGCATGGTGCTGAGTGTAGTTCTACCTGAGGCCAGTTGCCAGCATAAACAGACATGGAGAAGAAGAGTGACGTGCTGTGGGTTCTCCTAAGTGTTGCTGTTTCGAGCTGCTGGTTCTCCTGGAGGAGTTTGTCCTGCTCGCTTCCTCGATATGAATTAGGCTATCATCATCAGAGGAGCCCCAGGACTTGGTGCTGAGAGTGGCTGCGGTTCACTTTGGGGGAGCTCTGGTCCTTACACTGAGCATCGCTTCCTGGCTCCGGAGGGGAAGATGTGTGATGCTTAATCAACAGAAGAAGCTTGTCACACTGGCTTTCTGGCATGTACTTGACTGTTCTTATCGTTGGAAGAGCTCAGGACCTCATGTCACCAAGGACAGCTGTGGTACTTTTCTGGGCAGCCCTGTTCCTTATCTTGAGTGTAACATCCTAGCTCCAATGTAAAACCCTCAA